CCCCAAAACCCCAAAACCCCAAAACCCCAAAACCCCGGCTGGATGAGGTCTTGTTGAAAGTTAGGTTATGCATTTTGTAGTTTTGAGGGGAGTTTGGGGAAGGGGAAGAGGGGAAGGGGTTGAGTTGGCACAGAGGTCATAAGGATGGGTTTATGGGTTAAATTTGAGTAGAATTTATAGTGTAAAGCCTCAGATTTTATAATTGCATCTGATGAATATAAGCCAATTTCGCCTTGATGCTATTAACATACCTATACTGATCACTTAGCAGCGCCTACATCTTATTAATCTGTTTTGAATTATCTACAGTGATTGAATTCTGAACATCTAGGAGTTGTTCTTTCCTTTTGGCTTCAGACTCTCAGATTCTTGCCATGTTGACTAAAACCTGGCTGTTTTGCTCCTCTATTTGTTTTGCTCTATCTATATACTGAACTGCTTTTGCTAGAGGATTAAACTTCACAAGGAATTACTAGGGAATCCATCACCAGATTGCTCTCTAATATTCCTTCGATGTTTAAGGTAATCGAAGCTTTTAGGTATCTCAGATCTACAAGTAAGCTGGAAATTACTTTAAAGCTTCTTTTTGAGCACTGAAGCTATGAGGGGAATTACGCTTAGGCTGCCTACGGCGGAAATTTTTAATAGGATTTTGAAGATTTGAGGTGCTGTTTCCACCAACTTGATTTTTCGGAAAAGCATTAGAGGAGAAATTCTTCTTCAAGCCTTTTGATTTTTCAGATTCATTATTTTACTGAGACATTATGTCTATCTCGTTTATCAAGTTTTTCAACACGATGATTTGAAACTTTTGAGATCAAGTTTTTCATCTCTTCTTTCTTAACTTCATTAACTTGAGGCGCATGTAAATCACGCACAAGCTGCCAATATTTATCCCTCTTCTTTATCATTTCTTTTCGAGTCTGAGACTTAAGCTCTTCATTTTTAGATTTTTCATACTCTTCTTTGAAGCAGTTCTGAGCTATTTTAGTAAATTTTGGAGGTTTGTAATCATGAATAATTTCGGACTTCAGCCTTTGCTTCTTATTTCCTTTCTACAAGGTCCTTTCTCAAGACATCGTAGTCTTTACTGAACTTCTTAATTCCTTTAGCATCCAATGGCTTGAGCATTATCTCTCTGTTCTTCTTCATTTCTGAATATTCTAGTTCTTTTGCTTTATTAATATCAGCATCGAATGATTTTTGGTACCTAACATGGGTGTAGGCGAGTTCCATGTCGTCTGCATCTTTCGAGGAGACTTTGCTCATGAACTTCCTCTCGTCCTCACTATTGGCTGAGTTCTTGATCCTCCATTTAGCAATACCCATTTTGTCAATTTCGAGCCATTCTTTCTTACGTTTGGCTCTCTCCTCCTGATTTAATTTTAACTGTAAATAGTGAAGAGATTCTTACCTTATTTGATATTTTCTTGGTGCTTCTTAAGGGCAATTTCTTCCTTTTCTCTAGCAGCTTGCTTGGCATTCTCTTCCTCAAGTTCCTTTTCCTTCTCTTGGATCTTGTGAAGCTTCTGTTGGTAATTTATAAGACATTTATTTTCGGTTTAATTTGTCTTTCTTCAACTTTTTGATCAGATTCTTAACTTCATCAGCAGGCACCATTTGTGAATCTTTCGTAACTCCTAAAGAGCTGAGGTTCGAAGAATGATCGTTGCTGTTGAGGGTTACTCCGGAGAGAAATTTTGAGGTATTGTTGGTGATTTTTAACAGGTTCATTGACTTTTTCTGCATTTCATCATCTGTTAAGAAACTTTTACTCCTAAAAATACTTGTACAAACTTACTCGTGTAATTTTTCGGAGGTATATTCTCCTGCACGAGCCAAATTAACTCGATTTTTTCTTGAGATATTGTCAATCCTACAAAATTTACATATAGTTCGCCAAACTCCTAAGCCCAAATTCTTCAAGCTTACCGGTTAGAGTTGTGTCAGTTGCTTTTCAGCATTTTCTGGGACTTTTCAAGTTGATACATCCTTCTCAACTTCTGCTTAGAAATTTCCTTACTCTTCAGATGAGAAATCAAGGCTTCATCATAAGAAGTTGACCTGAGGCTTGACCTCAGCTTCTTCAAAGTCTCTGTGTACGGGTTGTAGGTGTACTTTGAGTTCCGAGAGAAATTGGAGGCTGATGCGTTGGTGCCTGGGAGGGCTAGCAGGTTGCGGTCGGTAGAGGGAGATTTTTGTTTGACTTTGTGAAGGATTTTAGGTGCAGATCTAGAGGTTAGGGGGTAGGGAGGGGGAGAATGGAGTTTTAGAGAGAGAGATGGGGAGATAGGGGAAGGAGGATTTTTTGGGGATTTGGAGTTGAAGGAAGGAAATTTTTACCTCAGAGGTATTTTCAGACTCTGGTAAGACTTTTAAGAAGCTATTTTAAATATTCTTTTCGTTCTGCAGGAAGTGCTTTTATTGTTTCCTCATCTATATTAAAAATTGTGGTTATTTAAACATAAAGCTTTGAACTTAAACTAAATTTCAGAATCAGGAATAGCTTAATCTTTTCTTAAATGATTCTAGAAATTCTTTAGGAAAATCTTTTCGAAATTTTCTTTTTTAACAGTTGAATTTCATAAAACTTACTTAAATCCCTGAATGAAGAGGTGGATGTGGCTCCTATCAGTCCAGATTTATAATTATCAAAATTGGTATCCTACTGGTCAGACAATCACTTACTTCAGTGATGGTATCTCTTTGTGCTGAGTGAAGGGAAGGGTCCATTTCAGTTTTAATATTTTCAACTGTAATTTTTATTTATGGGGTTTTGGGGTTTTGGGGTTTTGGGGTTTTGGGGTTTTGGGGTTTTGGGG